GGTCTCCAGCAGACCAGGGGCACCGGAGCAGCTTACGATCGGGGCTTTCTCGCCCCGGAGCTCGCAGGTAGTAATCCGCTACCTCGACCTCCGGGGCGAGAAAGCTCTGTTCGTAAGTGCGGATGCGACATAAGTCGGATCCGCGTAAGTCGGGGACTGCCTGTACATCTGTAATTGCTCCTCTTTGACTCCCTGATCATTGCCTTATGAAATCCTGACTGCAAATCGGTGGGGTTGCACTGGTGGCCGTGCAAATGGAAATAAGAATACTATTGACAGTACATGAGCCAGAAGAGAATCCATTTTGCTCTTTTTTTTTTTTTATGTGTTTTGGTTCTGCAGGACTGACTAGAGTAAAAAATTCCCCAATTTTTACTGTTTTCACTGGAGTCAGTAGATGTCACTAAGAATACATAGGGCCAGCAGATCTCCTGAGTAAAAAAGTGCTGTATTTACATAGCCATTTTCAAGGAAGAACGTTACTTTAAGCACTACCTATCATAGATACTTTTCAGTAAGATCATAAGGTCTAAGTATTTTCTTTATGCTCTAACAAAATTGGGTTCTTTTTTTTCATATTGCCTCATGCTATAGCAGCTTCATATTTCATGGGTTCCAAAGAGCATTCTCCCTTGCATCACTTCTTTTGCTCTTCTCCAGTGACCCTGTAGAGTCTCTCGTCCACATGGGGATGGGGCTTTTAGTTTGTTTATGCTGCCTCAAAAGGATCATGTGATCAGTCTTTTTTTTTCCCTTCTCCAATCTTGAGTTTTTTACAATTAAAAATGTATTTTATTTCCCCTATTTTAAGTATGGAACCTGTTTCACTGTACTAGGCATTATTGTAGCCTATTTATGGCATTGTGAGATGATTTCACAAGAGCAATGTTAGATTTCCAGGTTTTTAGTAGATTAGCTTTCCCTTTGGGATTATACCAATACTTGATTTAATATCTTCTGACATTGCATTTGTTCTATATCAGTAAAAGCTTTTAGGAACAGTAGCGACAGAGAAATGTAGGCTGCTTGATTTTTTTTTTCTAAAGACATTTGGCTTTCTCTGATAAAGGCTTATAAATGCTTCTAATTTTTTTTTTCTTTCTTAAAATGATTCCCAGCACAGCAGAAGGTTTGACAAGAGAAAGTATGTCGGATGTAAGTGGATGGCAAACCTTTTTACAGGCATTGGGTTACTTTCTTAAGATGTTCTTTGGCTCTGCGGCACTAGGCACTCTTACCGGCCTTATTTCTGCATTAATATCCTTTTTTGGGGGTAATGTAATGCACATGCATAAATTGGTGAACTCTACTGTTCTAACAGTGATTTTCATCTAGTCATTCTTTAATGTTTCTTAGGGCAATGATTTTTATGAGAGTTCTTTTTGTGGGCATATTATCTCTTGCTCGTTTTGTTTTAATATTAATGCTAATAGGCTTATTTTTTAAAAAATGACAAAAGTTTTATATGCATAGATGAATATAATTAAGGTCTAAATTACTGTATACAATTTTAGACTCTATGCAAATAGAGTTGCTAAATTCACAGTATTAATTGTGTTTTCAATGTCTTTTTCAATGAAAAATGCATTTTCTTTTCCCTGTTAAAAGTATGGAACTTGTTTTTCTGAACTGGGCAATTTTAGTTATTTTAGTAACATATGTCCCAATTTTCACGTGTAAAAATGGTAAATTAATTTTTAAAAAATAAGAGATAAAATCCTTAAGAAATTTTAGGGTCAGACCATATCAAATCTTTCATCCTTACATGTCATATTCAGCTGATTGAATATGGACACAGCTCAGTTTGGGTTTGGATGTTGAATTTTATCTGTGGCCTTTGCACCAGCTTGAATTGGTTGCTAAACAACCTAAGAGCTTCTCCCTTAGGATAAGAAAGGATGTTTGTTTAAACCAGACACCTTTGTTGCTTTTGGAAGCTAGCTTCGGTGTTTAAAATAGAAACCTGTATCTCGGTTCTTGTGCTAGCATTATGCTATAGTTATTCCTTTAACCTGGCCATATTGTCAAGCACTTTGTTTTGTAAACGCGAGGACTAGAGTATTTGCTTAAACATGGGTACATTTGCTGTCTTTGTTCATTAGAATTATTCCATGCACTTTTGATTCATTCAAAACCTGTCAGCAAAAGAGAGAAACCGCCATTTTCCTGATGCGGCTATTTTTCATTCAATATCTACTTGAAAGAGACTAAACAGAAAAGCAGTTTAATTGCCCTAATAGTTTATTGCCATTTGAGCTTCAAAATATTAGCCAGAACAAAATAGTTCTATGAAGCAAAAGAAATTTATAATAGTTGCCAGCAAATAGATATGATTTGAAACTTGCCTATTCGTTAACCTAGAGCAGTGGTCCCCAACCTTTTGGAGCTGCCGGGGGGCGGGGCTGCGCATGTGCTGTGTGCCTGGGGCCGGTGCCCCCCATGTGCCGCGCGCCCGGGGGCGGGGCTGCTGCTCCCCATGCACCGCGCACCCAGGCGCGGAGATGCCCATTCGTCACACGCCTGGGGCTGGTGCTGCCCATGTGCTGCATGCCCGGGGGCAGGGCCACCCATGCATCCGGGGCTGGCTCCGCACGTGCGCTGCACGTCCGGGACCAGCACTGCGCATGCACCATGTGCCCAGGGCGGGGCTGGTCCCGAGCACTTGGCAGGTGCATGTAAATGCCCCAGCAGGTGCCATGGCGCCTGCGGGCACGGCGTTGGGGACCACTGACCTAGAGGAATATGAGCTTCCATGTCACAGTTGTCTTAATTTTAACAAGTGTGGATGTGGAATATTTTGAAAGCAGGACAAAAGCGTGATTCTTTGTGCATGAACACTTTGATATAGATGTTATCACTGATCAGTCCTTTCCATTTGGAACTCAAAAGTCTAGCTGCATATACAACTGATGGCATATAGAACTTGTTTGCCCTACTAAATATATAAGGTGAAATCTTGCTTCCCTCCTCTACAGCCAAGTTGCATTTCCACTGCTTGAACTGGAGAGGAGAAAGACTTGGGACCCTATACAAGGTTCCGTGCTTATAGCAGGTAGTAGAGGTCTGCTACAGTGAATCTGAACTGGTAGATTATACTGATTCACAGGTGATATATGTTGAGCCACTGATTTATCTCCTCCTGAGTTGGGAATGCCGTTGCCTTGAGTGCTGCTGTAGCCTTGAGATTGTAACATTAGTTACGGAACAGCTGTGCTGCGCATTCTTCCCAAGAGAAGCTCAGCTCATAGACTGGCCAGCTGGGATGTGGGGGTGTGGTCCAGGTTTGGTTCTAATTGAATTAAACTCTTTGCATTTTCACAGTAAAGAATCATTTTGATTTAATTCATTCCAAAGTTTTTTCCAGTCTTTGATTTTAAGTGGAAAATTACTGTATTCCGGTTGCTTCAAAAGAAATCTTAGGCCTAGGTGAAATCCTGGCTTCGTGGAAGTCAGTGGAAGTTATGTCATTAATTTGAATGGAGCCAGGATTTTATACCTAGTAAATATTTCTAGGACAAATACAGAAGCAATATGAGGTTAGCTCATATTTTCATAAATGTCTAAGCAAGGACAAAAGAGAATTTTATTTCTTTTAAAAGTAGAAATGAGAGAAAACGTGGGCCATTTCAGTTCTGGATCATGGCTTCTATCCCATCACATATTGATAAAAAGCCATTATTGTTGGAAGACTATTCTGTGACTTTTGCAATAAATTTGGTGGTCTCAGTTCAGTTCTGAGGAAACAGGAATCCACATTATGATTGTAAATGTCTGGTAGTCTGCATGGAGGAGTCAGCAAGTGAATGTGCATAGAAAAGTGGTTCTTCCAGGTCCAGATTTAAACATACTGGCATGCTTTTAAACATATTTTATGTACTTCTGTCAATAAGAGTGGCCTTCAGTATCTAGGACTGTTATTCTGTCAGCTTTCACCAACTTTCATTTCACTTAAAGCCCTCTGTCTAAGAAATGATTAATCTATGCACCAGATGTTTTACAGTCTTAATATTAGCTATTCACTAAATAAATATATGAAATATGGTGTGTGGTGAACTTGTTTGGTATAGATTTGAATTTTTCAATGGATTACTTTTCTTTTTCCTTAATGGTTTGAGATATACGTACTAAAGCACATTGATTTAAGGAAAACACCCTCTTTGGAATTTGGAATGATGATTATATTTGCTTATCTTCCTTATGGACTTGCAGAAGGTATTTCACTCTCAGGTATGAAGCAAAATGAATAATGTGCAAAATTAGTTATCGAATTTTTAAAAGTTAGCAATCTGAAAGTACCAGATTTTCAGCTTCTCTTACTCTGTTCTCTTCCTGCAATGTGTGAGAGACACTCATTGATACTAATATTAATAGTGTGGTTTCAAATGACATGTTATGCATATTTGTATGCACAATTATTCTGTGCATTTAGTCATCATATTTAGGCATACAGATGAGAATGTAAGCTGAAACCTGACCTGGTGGTTTAATATGTTAAAGTACAGGTTGAAATTCTCTAGTCTAGCACTCTTTGGTGTGGCAACATTCATAGTTCAGCATGATTTTAGTTAGCTGGATGTCCACTTATCATGGGTGTGGCCAAGTTTCCCATGGTCCCATAAAGTTTGTTTGCAGCTCCCAGTCCTGCCTCTCGATGTTTCTATGCTGTAATTTAGCTCTAATTTACCTCTAAATGTCTTCTAAGAGTACAATAAGGAGCAGAAGTATTGGTAATGCTGCTAGACAATATTGACCTTCCATGGTTCTGTAAATTCTCTGGTTCAGCACCAGTTACATCTTGAGGGTGCTGGACTAGAGCGGTTATACCTGTATTTGGATGTTACTGTGAAATTTTGCCTTGTGAACAAGCTATATTAAAATACTGGTGGATGACTGGGGAGAGATCACATGAGGATTTCCTGTTCTGTTCCCTCCCTCTGGGGCATTTGGCATCGGCCACTGTTGGCAGACAGGATACTGGGCTAGATGGATCTTTGGTCTGACCCAGACTGGCCGTTCTGATATACATGTTCTGATATACATAAACATTTCAAAATATGGAACCTTTTTATTCTTGGTATGCATTGCATAGTAATGTAAAAATTATAGAAAATACTATAAATTAGTCATTGTATATGACACAGAATGTCTACAAGTATGACTTAATTGCTAGCATTATAAAGTACATTACCTTTTTTTAATTACATAACACATATGACAAACTCCTTAATTTGTTCAAACTACTTCAAAAATGATTTATCAGAAGAGTAGAAACTGCCAATAATCTTGGTCATGCTCTATACCTACAAAGGTCATCCCTGCATTCCAGACAGAGTACTTTTCAGCATGCCCCAGATACGTGTTCTTGTTCTACCATTCCAGTTCATCAGGGCCACTCTTGTTTAGGCATGTAACTGTAGTCAAATCCTGTTAGCTAATCAAACTTCCTTTGTTTTTGACTAAACAGGGCATTGTGTTATAACCCTCTGTGAAGTTTATTATTATTCCCAAATAATATTTTGTCCTTTTCATAATCTTCACTGCAATTGATTTCCTCTTGTGGGACATGCTGTGTCTTGTGCTTACTCATTCCACAAATTCCTTACAGGCAACAGCATAGTAACTTCACAAGTGGGTAATGTAATATGTTTCCACAGAACTGCAAAAATCACAGTAAGGTAAACCTTTCCAAACATGAAGCAGGGATGAAGGGCTACAGCACGCTACCTCACTTTCTAAGCTCAGGGAGTGGAATATCAACTGATAACTCACCCTGCCACTTGAATTTGGTGTTAGAGCCACTGGATCTTTATAATTCTAACCCCAATATCTCCCCCCTTAGCATTCTGCCACTGCTACCATCCATGCTAACCTGAAATGACTGGCTTAGAGTCCCCTTCTGCATTGTACTGGGAGTGAATAGGCTCACTTGCACAGCAAGTTTGCCCTGCCTCCATCATGGATTTTATGTGTTGTGCCATCTCTCCCTACCAATGGAAAATCCCCCTTATCTCAGATTGATAGTGAGATACAGAGTGTATTTTGTTTTTGATGTTTCCATCTCTGTGTGTGTGATATTGTTGGGCTTAGTAGGAGGGTAGATTGAAAACTGATCCCCTTAACTTCTTCTTCAGCTTTCCAACCTATTAAAATGGGATAATGTTACCTCATGACGATGTTGAGAGGATTAAATAGGCAATGTTTGTAAAGTTCCATGTCAGTGCTAAGTATTATTCTTCGGTTTGATAGTTGCACTGTATCCACAGGTATCATGGCAATCCTGTTCTCTGGCATTGTGATGTCTCACTATACACACCATAACCTTTCACCGGTTACACAGCTCCTAATGCAACAGACACTGAGAACCGTTGCTTTCATGTGTGGTAGGTGCTACCTGTGGCTTGAATCATCCATTAGACTAATATTTGTTGTGTATAAAAGGAAGATGCTATTAGGTCAGGAGGGAAAGCTGACTGATATTCTAACCAGTCTTGTCAGTGCTACATGTCTCTACCAACACACTTACCACTATGAAGGCTGCAAGTAGTCTAAAGTCACCTTTACTGACATATTGGGTAAGCTGTACAGTAAATCTTCTTCCTCCCACGTTCTCCAGTCCAAGATCTAGCTAAGATTTGCCACAGAATTGAGAACCAAATAGATCATCTTGCCACCTTTTCCCCTCTGGCCTAGTTTGTTGAAGGAGATTGAACATGTCCCTATTTTTAAAATGGATTTGGATATAAAGAAGCTATTTTAAAAGTAATAGTGTTTCAAACATTGGCAAAGATTGATAGATATCTCCATTAAAACCGACCAGAGCAATGCAAGGAGAGGATTCTGCATCACAAATATACCCCTATGTTTAGGGGCACCTGCATGTTAGTATTCCATACCTTGTTCAAGAGGAATAGCACTTAGAGCCCATTTTGCTAGGACTAGATCAGCTGCAAATGCTGTAATTATATATATGCAGAGTATAATTATTTTAAAACACATTGAATGTTCTAAATAGCATCTTGACTTTGTGCTTCAGAAATAAAGTGACATGCTGAATATGCCTTAGTAATTGTTAATGGCACTGTTGGAGACCTTTTTTAAAATAACTTCCAGGTGCAGTTAGAACAGTATATTTGCTTGTACAACAATGCGGTATTTTAATTTATCGTGCAAAGCATTGAAAAGTGCAGTAAAATTTAAATATTTTGTAATAAAATGTTTAACTCAGAATGCTTGAAAGTTAGGAGAGAGATTCATTTTCTATATGGGGCCTAATAGGAAAAAAGTCCACTAGGTTCAATCGGAGTCTTTTCATTAATTTCAGTGGACTTTGAAACAGGTCCAGATTCTTCAAGCAGGCAACCATACCAGTGAAGACATTCTTCAGTAATTTAAGGCAAAAGTCTGCTAGTTTTCATTACGCCAATTAATATTTACTCCTGAAATCAGACTACTCATGGAGTAAAATGCTGCTTAGTAAGAGTAAGAGTGGCAAAATCTGGCCCTTGCATTATGGTCGATATGTCTGTTTTGAATCTGGCCTGAGTCAGAAAGCGGAGAGTGTGCGCGCTTATATGTATAATGTATGTAATAGCCTATTCTAGGAATAGAAAATGTTTTAAAAGATACTAGCTGTTATTGACTGGCATAGTTTTATTTACATAACTAAGTTTGGTCTCTCTTTTTTTTCAGAAACCTGTGTTTTTGCATTCCTTGGTCTGTCGATTTTTAGTTTTCCTCATAAGTTTGAAATGTCCTTTGTCATTTGGTGCATAGTAAGTATTTACTTTCTTCTGAAAATTTTCATAACCTTTTACAATATTTGTAAAAAAAAAAAAATTACTTTTCATGGCCTGTTGGGCTCGAGCTATGTTTTTACAAAACCTCCTATGTTTATTTTGTAAACAGGTATTGTACCATTTGACTGGAGAATTGCTAATATAGTTCCTATTTTTAAGAAAAGGAAAAAAAGTGACCCGGGTAACTACAGGCCTGTTAGTTTGACATCTGTAGTATGCAAGGTCTTGGAAAAAATTTTGAAGGAGAAAGTAGTTAGGGACATTGAGGTTAATGGCTATTGGGACAAATTACAACATGGTTTTATAAAAGGTAGATCGTGCCAAACCAACCTGATCTCCTTCTTTGAGAAAGTAACAGATTTTTTTAGATAAAGGAAATGCAGTGGATCTAATCTACCTCGATTTCAGTAAGGCATTTGATACAGTACCACATGGAGAATTATTGGTTAAATTAGAAAAGATGGGGTTCAATATGAAAATTGAGAGGTACATAAGGAACTGGTTAAAGGGGAGACTACAGAGAGTCATACTGAAAGGTGAACTGTCAGGCTGGATAGAGGTTACTAGCGGAGTTCCTCAGAGATCAGTTCTGGGACCATTATTATTTAATCTTTTTATTACTGACCTCGGCACTAAAAGTGGGAGTGTGCTAATAAAGTTTGCAGATAACACAAAGTTGGGAGGTATTGCCAATTCAGAAAA